CCCTGAAGGGTGTCCCGGATCAGGGTGGGGGTCCCACTGGGGTGCCTGGGTGAGGGGCTAATGGCTGTTTGCAGCTGGTCACACCCCCTTTAGGGTGGGGGTCCCCACTGGGGTGCCTGGCCAGCCTGGGTGAGGGGCTGATGGCTGTTTGCAGGCTGGTCCCACCCCCTTCAGGGTGGGGGTCCCCACTGGGATGCCTGGCCAGTATGGGTGAGGGGCTGAGTGTCGTTTTCAGGCTGGCCAAGCCTGTCGGCGACGGAAACTCCCAGCCTCTCCTTTTTTTCTTTCTTTTTTTATTCTGGGATTTTTGTACCTTCTATAATTGAAACTTTGTTGCCTTCAGTGGAGCTGAGAGCGGGCTCCTGCTCACTCCAGCTGCGTGGTCACGGCCGGCTGAAAGCAGGTATCTGGGGTTTATTTACCTTTTATAATTGCAACTTTGTTGCTTTTGAGTGGAGCTGAGAGCCGGCGGCAGGCTGGCTTCCTCCATCACTGGAGCAAGCAAGCCTCCTGCTCGCTTCAGCTCCGTGGCTGCTGGCCGCCATCTTGGTTGGGTTAATTTGCATACAGTCGCTCTGATTGGCTGGTGGGCATGGCTTAAGGCATAGCAAAGGTTCGGTCAATTTGCATGTTTGTCTTTTATTATATTAGATTCTAACAGTTGTAAGTTTTTTAAAAAGAATTCTAGTTATAAGGTGTTAGCACTAATTAAATACTTTGTAAGCAAACCTGGAGAAGTCACTGGGGTCATTCTTTATTTGGGGGGAGTTAAGATAGTTTTCACTTAAGAAAATATATGTCAGCCTTCAGTTATTGCTGCCACTAGGAACGGGAAGTGATAGAGATTTGATAGAAATAATAAAAATGACTGCCGATCTTAACAATATAAAGCCAACTATGAAATTATACAAATTAGATCCCTGGGTACTTGTATATGATTAAAACAAAATGATTTCTTTCTAAGTCAATAACATGTAAGGAAAGATATAAAATTAATATGGTAACTAGAGAAACTTGGAAAAAATTAATAATAAACTGCTATGGATTTATTAGGAATATGTTTTTTTAAAAAGAGCATCCAAGGACTTCAAACTCATTTTTTATTGTTCGGTCCGAGTGACAGTTTGCTGTTCAGGGTCAGTCAGCTGTTTTTACTAATATCTTATTACTTGTCAAGTTAATTTCTACTGGGAAAGCATGTTCTTTGAGGTCAGACAGACCTGGTTTTGCATCTTAACCCTGCCTTGAAGAGTTGGGTGACCATGGCTGACATGTTTAATGTCTCCAGCCCGCTTTCCTCTGTCTTAAATTTTAAGTGGGGTTGGATTAAATTTGCAAATTAATCTAGTGAGAATTGGGATTTAGATTGAGTTGTCTCAATGGGAAACAGGTACATTTCCACATTTACTCAATATATACTTAGGTTTTGTCTTCCCTGTTTACTTATGCACTTTTGTAAAGATTTATCATTTTTTTTCTTCTAGATCCTGTATATTTAACTATTGATTTCATTATCAGGATTATGCTAGTTCTCTTCAAATGAATTGGGGAGTTTTCCATAGTTTTTTATGCTCTAGAAAAGTTTATATAATTTTTGAATTATTCCCTTTCTTTAAAGTTGGACACATTTGCTCATAAAATTATTTAAGTCTCACCCCTTTGGGGATATAATTCTTTGATAACTTTGTCAGTTTCTTCTATGATTATTTTTGGTTTGTTTCTTATGTTTTCTTGAGCCAATTTTTTTAATTTATGTTTTTTTAAAAAAGTGTCCATTTTGTTGAGCTTTAAAAGATATTGGCCAGATGTCATTTGGAACATTTATTTACAACTCCTCTGGGATTACGGGTTGTATAACCCCAGGTTATTCTTATTCCTAATTCTGTTGTTTTCTTTCTTTAAAAAATTGATTAGTTTAGCTTGAATTGTCTGTTTTACTACTGTTCTCCCCTCCCCTCCCCCCAATAAACTTAGGTTTTTTTTCATTTTTTTTCTATCTCAGTAATTTCTCCCTTATTTTTAATTATTTTATTCTTTCTGCTTCTCTTAAGTTGGTTGTATTGTTCTATTCCCAAATTCTTTTTTTAAAAAAATATATTTTATTGATTTTTTACAGAGAGGAAGGGAGAGCGACAGAGAGCTAGAAACATCGATGAGAGAGAGACATCGATCAGCCGTCTCCCGCACATCTCCCACTGGGGATGTGCCCGCAACCCAGGCACATGCCCCCGACCGGAATCGAACCCGGGCCCCCTCAGTCCGCAGGCCGACGCTCTATCCACTGAGCCAAACCGGTTTCGGCTATTCCCAAATTCTTAAGTTGAATGCATAATCCAACTTATTTCCATTCTTTCCTATTTGATAATAAAAGTCTCTAATGCTTCTTTCTCCTACTTTGAGCTTGGGCAGAATTCCTTAGGTATGGATGGATACCTGTTCTCTTTATTCTTACTTTAAAGGCATGATATAATTGCTATTCTGATTTTCCCTTTGATTTAAGAATTATTTATGAGTGTGTTAATGTATGGTCTCTTTATCCTTACTGTCAATGCACTATATAATTGCCATTTTGACTTCCCCATTGATTGAAGGATGAATTATGTGTTATACAAGTGGTATTTTTAAAGACATCCTCACTTTATTGTGATTTCTAGTTTAATTACATTTTGATATTCTTTGGGTGGATTTACTGACACTTTGAGGGGGCTAACTTTTGGCTAATTTTTATAATTTTGGCCAATTTTTGTAATTTTGTGGTTGGTGGTGGGTAGTAGAGTGTTTACTTGTAGGTAGAGTGGACCTAGGTTTCAACGAACTCTATTAATAAGATTTTCCAGGTCTTCTGTTCGTTTGTTTTTAATTTTTGTTGTTGTCGTTGCTTGCTTGAATTGCCATTTTTTCTCAATTTCTTTTAGAAATTCTTAATTTTTTTGTTTCACACCTTTTGATATCCTGATATTTATGTTCATGGCTGATATCTTTTTTTTTAATATATTTTATTGATTTTTTACAGAGAGGAAGGGAGAGGGATAGAGAGTCAGGAACATCGATGAGAGAGAAACATCGATCAGCTGCCTCCTGCACACTCCCCACTGGGGATGTTCCCACAACCAAGGTACATGCCCTTGACCGGAATTGAACCCGGGACCCTTCAGTCTGAAGGCCAATGCTCTATCCACTGAGCCAAACCAGTCAGGGCCCCATT